GTGTCTGGCCCCCCAGCCAGCTGCCCGTGTCGCTGGGCCTCTCCGCCGTGCGCATGGCCGCACTCAAAACCAACGCCTTGTAAAACACGTTTTGGTGTAAAAAGTTGTACATGAAACGCCCAGCTCCAGACCACCCGTCTGTGCTGCCGCGTCCGAATGTCCGAATGTCCACCTTCGGCCACTGCCGAATACGCGCACTGGTCGACAGGCAGGTGCTCCTCATCTATCAGCCACTGCAGCATGTCGATTCGACCGACCTGGGCGGCCATGTAGACGACGCCGTGATCCAACTTGGCGCCACGCGAACGAAGAAACTTGAGCACTTCAAAGTGGCCTGCCGCGATGGCATCGCGGCACGAGCTGCGTTGGATCGCGCTTCCCTCTCCGAGAGTATGTACTCGATGACTGGCAGATGACCGCCCTCGATGGCTCGTTCGAGTGTGCGGATGCAACGATATCCGGTGAGGGACTTGACGGTGTCCAGATCTCCTTCGTAGGCCGCCTGGATGCAGCGCTGGATGTTGTCGTGTTTTGTGGGGGTGGTGTTGCTCATGGCGTAGCGGAGTGGATGAACGAAAGGCTCAGCGGGCCCATTTATTCATCGGCGACCTTTACCGCCTCGCGGTTATTGGCCCAGCGACCCTTGTACTCGGCGTAGCGACGCCCGAGCCAGATGATCGTCGCACTGATGTGCCACCGCCACAGCACATCGGGATCGCAAGGATGGCTGTTGAGGTAAACGTCGATCGCGCTCGGAAACGTCTGTTCGTCGCACCAGTAGTACACAAAGTTCTTATCGCAGCCTTCCACGTGCACGGTGTGCGCCCTCTCGAATATGGGACCGTCGCGGAACGGGTGGATGTTGCCCATGTTGCGCAGGATCACCGCGGCATGGGCCATCTTTTGCCCACGCAGCGCATACCACGCGTCGTTTGATGGTGTCTTCCATGTATTGTTCTCAACCTTTGTCCATGCGAATCATGTGCAGACGATGGCATCTCAAACACAAGAAGACGCCGTCGTTTACACGCCGTTCCCATCCGTCTGTCATCGTGCAAGACTTGCAGGTCTCGCGCCGGCAATCCTCGCACTTGTAGAAATCGAACGTGCTCGTCAAACAGCCCGGACAAGGCTGGGCGAAACTCTGGCGTCCACACCTGTCTCGTACTCGATAATCCTCACCCTGCGCCTCACGCCGTCGTCGGACATGTTGTTGGTGGAAAAAAGACAAAAGTCGGCGTATTTATAGCCTGTGATATGCCATGTAGGCCAATCCGACGGGAAAACAGACGATACACAAGATGATCGCCCTTTTGGTTCGCCTGCGCCTCTTGTCCAAAGAGTCCACAAACGAAAAGGGCAGCTCCGTCGGGGTGGTGTTTGTCACGCTGTCGTCATCAGAGCACGTCATCGTCGTTTTATTATTCAGAAGAGACTCGTCGTTGTCACCGCCGCTATGACACCCGCGGCCAACAGAATGGCCGCCACCACCAGCACGACGATTAGTGCGATGCGATACTTGCGATCCCGCCTGTGTGCGGTGTCGCGTTTCTTCTGTGCTTTCTTGACGGTCGCCCACTCCTCGTCCTTGATCCCGCCGAGCGTGAATCCGCCGATGCGCTTGCCCGCCTGATCGAAGATGGCGAGGAACCTGCGCTGCTGCACGCAATCCACAAAGGCCGCCCGCACGACGTTGGGTCCTGCTTGGCGTAAATGCCGGCGAACAGAAGCGAGATGTCGACCTGCCGGATGGCGCAGTCCTGTCCGACGATGAAGGTGGTGAATTCGGGCCGATCGACATTGGCGCGGATCCCGCGTGGCGACTTGATGCCGTGTTTCTTCTTGTTCATTTTACCCGTGAACGTGGGACGCGGCACCGCCCACGCCCGACCGCCGAACGGCGCGACGCCCGCAAAGTGAGAGGCGAATTCGGCGTTGGGCGCGTTCATCGTGTTGGAGTAAAACGCAACCCCGTTCCTCATCCTGATGGGATGGGATGGAAGGGTGAAAAAAGATACCCCCGCGTCTTCACGTCGCATCGATTTATACCTCGCCACAGCCACACTATAAACAACAATGGCACAGCAGCAGAACGACGCCACCATCACCGATGCCGAGCGCGCCTACGGATGTGGCAGCTGTGGCGGGGGCTCCCTCTCGCTCGTGGCCCCCGTCGTCCCGCTCGACTCCCAGCCCACGGGACCCATCGATGTCAACCAGGCTTTCTCGTCGGTGTGGCTCGGCTCCGCCCAGAACATACCCGGTGACGGCATCTACGCGCCCATCCTGGCCTGGTCCTCGACCGGCAGCCCGAACCTCGCCGCCGGCCCCGTCGTCGTGACCACCGGCAAGTACATGGTGGCCTTTGCCTCGCAGTCGGCGCCACCGTCACCTTCGCCGCGTCGGGTGCCAACAACGCCGGCCAGCGCTCCATCCAGATCGTGCTCAAGCGCGGCGCCACGCCCTATGTGATCGCGCAGGACACCAAGCAGCCGTCGGCCAACTCGGCGATCCCCATGGTCCTCCACGCGCAGACCCTCGGCAACTTCATCGCCGGTGACGAGATCTGGGTGCAGGCCGCGCAGACCAGCACCGTCGCCCTCCCGCTGGCCGTCGGCGTGGCCACCAAGTTCCACGTTCAGCCCCGTAACGGAGCCTCCACTGCCTAAAAAATAAACGTTGCGTTGGCAAAGTCTTTTTTGTGTGCATGGGGCGGAAACATGTCGTCCACCGAGAAAGACAGGTCGCTCATCATCGGGTTCGTCGTGCTCGTCGTGGTGGTGATTGTCGGGTTCGCGATCATGGCCAAGACCGACGTCAAGGGCAGGCCGGATGCTGGCAAGACATCGGCGCTGGACCCCAAGAAGATGACGGAGGAGGCCGCGGCGAAGGGTTACGAGGTCCATTTCCTCGGTGCCGCTGAGCTCAGCAAGGTCGAGCATCACAATGATTGCGTCGTCATGTACTACGCGGACTGGTGTGGCTACTGCAGGCAGGCCCTGCCGGCGTTCCTCGAGGCGTCGCGCATTACGGGCGACGCGCTCATGTATGCCGTCGAGTCGCGCAACATACCCAAGGGACATCCCGTGGGCAGTTTCCCCACTGTAATTCGGTATCACACCGACGGAAGGACCCGCGAGGTCCACAAGGGGCCGCGCACGCCCGCCGGCTACGCTAGCTTCGCGACCACACACTAATGTTCCCGAGCGATATCCCAAAAAGAAGACAGTACCCCTCCAACGAGTGCCTCTGTCGCGAGGTCGTGCCGGGCACACACAATCCGAGCGGCTGCACCTATTTCTTGGCGTCATGGTCCGGACGAGGCATCGTACTCGAGAAGAGCAGCTGCGGCGATCGAGGGTCCGAATACCGCAAACATGTAAGCGTTATCGCGAAGCTCGGTGTGCACGGCCACAAGATTGACAAACAACAGAGAAGAAAGCGCAAGCTGCAGGATCGCATACCGGATGCAGCGCGCGCATATTGGCGCCGCCAGTGCTATTTTGGGACGATCCGTGTGCTATTGAAGCGTCTGCCCTCAGAGCTCATCGAAATGACCATGTTGTTCATTTAGGCATACAAAGATCACACACAAACATGGGCTTCATGTTGTAGCGCGCGGCCTTCATGGGCTCCTTGAGTTTGGCACCGTCTTCGACGTGGAGTGGCAACCACCATTCGAGCGCGTTGTTCTTCTTGTGCTCGGATCGCCAGTGTTCAAGATTGGCCAGAAATGCAGGCGCCACTTCGATGCTCTGAAACTCGTCGTCATCATCGAGAGAGATCGCCTGCAGGACATTGACGCTGTCGCCCCGCTGACTCCAGAACAGGGCGTACGAATCGTCGCATGAGCACTTCTGTGAACACTTGGCACAGGTGCGCTTCATGAGCGGCGTGTGTATGTAGTCCATGGCACTAAAACAATGGGCAACTGGTGCCCTTTTTTTGGTTAGGGTTTTATGGTGGTTGCAGACGACAGGACACCGATGCAGAACCAGCCACTCAGAATCAAGCTCCTGGTAGAAGGCGCCACCGCCCCTAGGCAGGTCCACTCCACCAATGCTGGGTACAATCTCTTCAGTGCCATTGACACTGTCAATGTGCCAGCGTGAGGTTGGCAGTTGGTGGATCTTGGGATCACCATCACTGTGCTGATTGGCACCTATGGGAGGATTGCACCATGATTGGGTCTTGGTTGGAAGAAGGGCATTGACATTGGTGCTGGTGTTGTTGATGCTGGTGATTGTGGTGGTGTGAAAGCACTCGTCTTCAACCACAACAATGAGGACTTTGTCATTGCCTGTGGTCATTGTATTGCTCAGCTCATCCTGGAGTGCATTGTGACGCCTGAGGTTGAGATTGTGGGTGATCTTGACGCCACCAATTGTGGTGCAAACTGATTTGGTTCCATGGGCATCACCAAGAGACTCTGGGTCAAAACATAAATAAAGCAGTGGCATTCTCAAACAATGGCACAGCAATGGTGAACAGCAGAGTGGAGAATGTGATAAGATCCCATGGGATCACACCCAACAGGATCCCTGCATGTATGGCATGGTGGTGCATGTGGTGGTTGAAATCTGGCAATGCTGTTGGATGCTCACAATCACCATGTACATGCTGCTTCCAGAGGGTCTGCATGATTGGACCAACTACATCCAGGAATGTGAATGACACAATGGCATGGGGTGGTGGCTCAATGCTGCGTGTTGGGTGGCTGACAGTGTGCAATTGGATGCTGCCAGGGATGGCATGCTTGTGCCTGGTGCATGGCTTGAGCTGTGCAGCTGCGCGCTCAGCCAGTACCTTGCATGACACTATATAGGGAAAATGTACTAGTTTATTTGCATTGTGCCTCTGGATCAATCCCATTGTGATGCCCATGTGGAACCTGCAGGGCGTGATCAACTGCTCAGGCAAGGGGCCAAACAACTCAGTCATGATGTACATGCTGCCATCCCAGCAATTGTTGCAATGGGCAGCTGGTCAATGACCTCACACATGGTCAGGCAGAAGGTCCCCAGATGGCCAAACGTGTGCATCATGAGGTAGGATCAGGTGATGAACGCCACAGTCTTGTTGTTGTCGCCCAGTATGGTGTTGCAAGTTGCATGCCCCATGAACTCATCCATTGGCACAACATTGGACAGGTTGGGCAGTGCTGGGATCCTTGCACTTGATGCCCCAACACTGCCCATCATTGAACACAGCATAGGGCATGATCTTGGCCAACCACTGGCTGCATTCACTGGCAGAGAACTTGTATTGGCATTTGGTGTAGCAACACAAGTGGAGAGGCTCCATGCACAATGTAAGATTGCGCGCTGCAATCCACGTTTAAGTGTGGTGGTCATAGTCCAAGTCATTTATTCTGGTGGCATGGGGGATGACAGCACACCAGCACTCTTGTCTTTGATCTTGGATTGCATGTGCAATGGGCGTGCAGGACATGTTGAGACGGCGCTCATGGATCATTGAGATCGCCTCATGGGGACCTGCCTCAATTCACTTTCAGATTGTTGTAATGCAGTTGTTGCCAATGTCTCATATGTGGATCTAATGATGGATCTCAAGTGGACAATCGCCAAACGACACATGCCCAAGGCTCTCAATCACTTGGCTGAGTTTTGCAAATCCAAAGAAGCCATTGAGTTCATCCTGTGGACATCAATGCTCTTCCAGTGATGGAATGGTACCCACAGTTTCTGGGATGAGGTGGGCTGCGCTGCCAGATACAATGAAAACAAAGTGATGGAGTGTGTTGCATGTATATGCAATGGATGATGTGTTTGTTTAAACAAGGATCACATTGCTGCATCCCTCCAGGTAGGATTTTCTGTCCATGAAACCATGCAGCCTCATCCACAAAGCACTGGAGGCGAGTGTGAATGCATCCTTTGTTGGTAAGACAGTGCGGGGCAGTGATGGCCAGGATTGGACTGCCAAGAAGGTGCGCAAGCCATGGGGAGGATACATGCACTGGTGGGTGTGCATCCAGCACTGCATGTGGGCCGCCTACACCATCTACTGCAATTTCCTGACGCCTGAGATCGCCCCACCTTTCAATGTTTGTGTGCTGTTTGATGCCCTGTGAACCACCACCACCAGTGACATTCACACTGAGATTGGCATTGAACAGTGACAGGGTCAGTGATACACATGGAGGATGTGATGTTTGTGCACATGTGGCATGTGGCCGATGGATGCTGCCAGATCTTTGCTTTGGGGGTGTTGGATGGACATGGCGGCAAAGCCACCTCATGGGCGCTGCGCAAGGTCCTGCCTGAGTGCATTGCATACAGCCTGGGCAATGAGGCTGATCTCAATGACACTGATTGGACACATGAGATCAACAGTAAGATCATGCTTGCCTTCTGGCAGGCACAATGACAGCTCAACACCATTCCACATGGTCACCATCATGGGTCAGGCAGCATGGCCACCATGTGTTTGTGGCAAGGAGGTGGCACAATGCTCTGGTGGGCGTGGGTGGGCAATTCTGAGGCCGTCATCACACTACCCACCATTGGCCACAAGCAGCTCACCACACTTGACCACAAGCCACATGCCAGCAAGCATGAGGATCAGTGTGTCAAGCGAACCAGCACATCATTCATACTGCGCACCATCAACCAGACCTATGTGCACCTCAATGGGGTGCACATCACCATGACCCGCACGCTCAGCAACACCCAGAGCTACAAGCCGTTTGCCACCACCACTGACCACCAACACCACACAGCTGGTTATGCCATGTCACCAATCCCATTCATCAGATCCATGGACATGGGGGCCATGCCAGACAATGCAAGTGTCATCATCCCAAGTGATGGGCTGTGGGACATGATCAACCATCACAAGGTGGCATGGATTGTCTGATCCAATGTTGGTGTGGCCACCAAAGAACTCATGTGACACGCCATGGCCAAGGGAATGACAGACATTGTGAGCGTTCTGTTGTTCATACCCAAGAGGCTTTATTAAGTGTTCAGGATGATGACAGGGAGTGTGACAGCAGCCAAGATCTTGCAGCCCTCACTGAGAGCATCGTGCAGCTGCTTGCGCAGGCGCTGCACTGCAGTGTCACTGGAGATGACCCACTCATGTGGCGCTTTTTCAGATTGAAGGTGAGTAGGATCTTGGTCTGATCCTTGCTGAGCACAATGACACTTCCAAGAGGCAATGTGAGGGCCTCCCAGGTCAGCAACATGTGCATGACCTCCTGGGTGATGCTCTTGACGCCATGACTGTGCAGATCTGAACGAAATCCATCTTTGACGGCCTTGAGGATTGTGCCACTGTTGTGTGGTGTCACCAGCACCCAACGATGATGTGACTCCTTCTTGATGTAGGTGTTGAAGAAGAGCTTGTCCTTGTAATACATCATCTGGCCCAGCCTGTGATCAGGTGTGCTCAGATGGCGATCACCATCAGGAACAATGGTGAAGGGCTTGATGGCCAATGTTGTGGTGTCCTCCTCCTCCTCCTCTTCTTCTTCTTCAATTTGTTTGGGTTCCTCCTCCTCCACCTCTTCAATCAGTTCATCTTCCACCTCTCCATCAGTCATGCTCTTGTCCCTGTTTGACATTGTTTTGGTGGTGTGGGTGTGTGAAAAGACAATGTGAAATGAAATCGCGCCCATAATTCACATTTATGTGATTATTAATTGCTGGCCAGAATATTCTTGAGCATGACAATGGCGTTGCTGGGATCTGACTTGGTAGATTCCAGGTCAGATCTGGCCTCAGCTTCCAATTCTTTGGCCTCACACAGACAGTTGGTGACCACCTTGATGATGCACTCACAATCAAGCACATGATTCAGCATGCCCTCAACAGTGGCACACAATACTTGTGATCCAGATTCACAGATGAGCATCACAAATCACTTCAATTCATCAAGGATGTCCTCAGGCACACAGGAAAAGTCAAACACACACACCTCAAGATCCACACACAGGCTCAAGAGCAGGACAGGAGGGGAAGGGACGGTGCCTGGTGTGAGGCTGTACTCAAACTTTGGAGTGTCCATCAATTCTCTGGTGGCACTGCGCACAATGATGCTGTGATTGTTGGTCATAGAGCTGTGGTACTGAGGATCCTTGTGCATGTGCACTATCCACTGCTCCAGGTAGTAGTAGTTGGCATCACCATTGGGCACACACATATAGGTGAACAGGTTGATGAGGTTGTGGACATAGTTGGTGGCCTCAGCAAGCACACCCTCATGGATGGGTCCAACAGCCACTGACAGAACCACAAGGCTGGTCACCATGGCAAAGCTGGGTGCATCCACACAGCACTGTCCAAGCGCAAAGAGCATCCGTTTCCCCTGGGTGAGCCCCAGGCGCTCAAAGGCATCATTGAGTTGCTGCAGCATTGCATGTCTTTGTGTCAGCTGACAAATGCTCATGTGTCATTTTTATGTGTATTACATTGTCAGCTCCACTCTGTGTTTGTGTTGACTCACATGGAACAATGGCGGTGACACACATCCAGCTCAACACCTGGGAACTGTTCACAATCATCATGATCATGTGGTTTGTCATCTCACTCTGGGGCGACATCTTCAAATCCATCATTAAGCACTTTGTGCTGGCCCACAACAAACCCCAGCCACGAGTGATGGCTGCCAGCACACTGGTGCTCACCACAGCCCTCGTTGCCATCACCAAGATCATCAGATTCAACTTCATGGCTCAAGCAACGCAGCACAATCTGGTCCCATGATGCACAATCGCATAGAGACACAAGAATCAGTAGCAGTGGATGCTCTTACATGTGTCACAACACCACCATTCGTCCTTGGTCTTGTTCTTGCACTGGCAGCAGTCCATCTCCATCAATGCATCCATGCCCACCAGCACCCACCCAGCCAACATCATACAACATAGTGGCACATCTTCCTCAGCAATCCCACCCACCACAACCTTAAGGCACCATTTGTGATTGCAATAGCGCTTGTCACATTCATCACATCACATGGTCACATGTTCATCCTCCTTGCACCCACATAGGCACCTCAGGTGGACTGTGTTTGGCATACTGCATGTTTGACTGACAGTGTGGGTTTGATTGTCCTTTTGTGGTGAGCCTTTTTATTTTTTGCTGACCTCCAGCTCTTGGTTGGTGAACAGTATGGGACCACAGATGACTCCAGCTGTGTCAAAGAGATCATAGGCCCAATCAAATCCCAGGATCACTTCAGCAAGCTGGTTTGATCCACATGATTCCCATGTTTCCCAGGTCACTGCATATTTGAACTCTCTGATGGTGGTCTCCTCGTTGCCCAGGCTGAAGACCCTGAGCACAGTGGGTTCCTTCTTGTTGGATGTGAAGAGTGTGAAGAGCTGGTGGACTTGCAGCATGGTGAGATGTTCACTCTCATTGATGAGCTTGAGCCCATGCCCAAACTCATTGGTGGTGATGAAGACCACTTTCATGGACAAGGACGTGGACCAGTGACCCACAGATGCTCCAGGATCTCATTGATCCCAATCTGGAAGTGTGGCAGCACACGCAGCATGGACGCCAGCAGATCACACACCTCAGGCGATGCTCCCCTGGGCGTGCAATATCTGGCCAGGATGATGTCCCTCACCATGGTGTCTTCATTCTTCCTGTGATTGAATGGCACTTCACTGGTGATCAGCACCAACAGCAAGCACCTGAGTGACCACATGTTGGCTGATGGCCCTGCTTGTTGACTGAGCCTGTGCAGCATCTCTGGTGGAGTGTAGTTGAGTGTGCTGACCCCCCTGTTGTCAATGGGATCAGTTCCTCAATCAATGAATCATGAGAATCTGAAATTGCACAACAGGGCATCACCCTTGGCTGAGATGAGCACGTTCTCAGGCTTGATGTCCAGGTGCAACACGCCCTGCTGGTGCATGTACCATACAGCCTTGACCACCTGGCAAAAGATACATCTTGCTGCAGTCTCACCCCAACCACTGGCAGGCACATAAGCACACAGATCACCTTTGGGTGCATATTCCATGACAATGATGCATGAATTGCCATCATCAGTGCAGAAGGTGTCATAAGTGGTGCAGATGTGTTTGTGTGGCAACACAAGTTGTGCAATGTCAAGCTCATGCCCAGTCAGCCAGGACCATTGTTCATCATCCCCATAGGAATGGCATGAGATGACCTTCATGGCCACAGTGGCCATGTCTGAAGATGCAACATACATCTGGCCAAAGCTGCCACATCAACACACAGTGCACAAACCAAGCAGTTGGTTAGCATCATCATCAACACTGGGGGATGAAAAGTGGACACAGACCACATCCACCAGCAATCATAAGGCCAAGCACTTCTTCATAGTGTGTGTGTGGAACAAAGAAAAAAAGTCAAATGTCCATCGTTTTATGGCTCCTCATCATGTATGTGGGAGGGATAACTGTGCTCAAACTGACAGCTGATCAAAAAATTTTGTACTAAGTTGGAAAAGAGACAGTTGTTAGGGTTTACTGGGCAGCAGTCTTGGCCGCTGAGATGATCTGGTCACTGGCCAGTAAGATGGTAGGCCCACACGAAAAATCCAGAAGACAGATGCTTGTTGGCATTGTTCTTGATCTGGTTCACAAGTGTGGACACATACAATGTGATCAGAGAGAGAGAGAGAGAGAGGTCACATGGACGTAGACCACAGTGCAAACAGATACTGGACTATGGTCATTAAGAGAGACAAAGGATGGTGGTATAAAAATTAGGATAAAAACAGGGGAGGGAGGCTTACAACAGTGGAGCGCCTGGGACAATCTGATGGTAGGCAGAGTTGCACCAAGCTGCCATATGGCACCCAGCTTTGGGTTCCTCTATTGTGCACTGGTGTGTATGGTCTTCCACTGATCAGGTATCATGTGATCAGATGATGGCTCTGGACCTTCTCACACAAGCTGGGTGGCATCCAGCAGCACCCATGCCAATGCACAGTCACTAGCTGTCATAGCTATGAGCGACCCTGCAACCCCCTACCTTCTCAGATGTCAGGGCAGTGTGCAGAGCGCATCCTCATGTGCTTTGCTGGATGGGTGGTCTGTGCACCAGATTTCACCCCTCAACAACACTGGAATAACAGTGAGGGCCACCACACTGGTAAGTGCCACAACCTGGCTGGTCGCCATGTATGGAGTGATGAATGAACCTGTTAGGTCCAGGACTTGTGCAGCCGTGGTTTGCCAATAATAATTTTTGTGGAACAGCATGTGCCACTGTGAGGGCTCTGGTCTGATGGCCACCCCAACACTGGAGTCTCTGGAGTTGACTGTGTGTGCAATCCAAGGGTGGTGAGATGAGAATCCCCACATGTGAGATGTGTAGCAGAGCTGAGAGAAGAGTGAACTTACTGGCAATCTTGATGGCAGAACCAACAGCAAGCCTATTGTCATAATAAGAAGGCAGCTTGAGCCTAGTGAGCCACAACTTCCCCAATTCATACAACACCTGTACTAGCTTATTGCTGATTGTGTAGAGGGTCTGTCCACACACACACACACACACACATGACATGATGCATGGCCAACTGGTCAATGCTGTGCTCATGTATGAGAGAGAGAGAGAGAAAAGGGACCTGAGTGTTGCACCTTGTTGTGGGGTACAAAAGTGATGTTGTTGCCAGCCTGACAATGGGTGTGAAACATCTTTGAGGGAGATTCTTGCACACCCAACAACTCGCCATTTCCACTTATTGCAAAGTCACCTAGCCCATTGCCAGTCATGTATGGGGCAGCAGCGCCTCCCCAGCTGCTTTCCAGAGGGGGCACTGTGAAGACCACAGGCTGGAAGTTGTCCAGTGCTGCAGCATCTGGGAACGTCCAATACTGAGTATAGCTTTGTCCAGCAAGGTCATGGTAAATATACTCCCCCGCAGAGCTGCCTGCTTCTCTGCAGCCA